GCTTAACCAGGATAATGCCAGAGAGCATTTACAAAAATTGGCCCCAATCCTTTTACTCTCTGTATCTATGCACCTTTGTAATGTGACTTTGTAGGTCTTTGCATCAAGAGGTAGAGTTTATCCCCCCACCCTCTGATCTGGGCTTGTTTTGACCGGTAGAAGGCAGTGGAAGTAACATGCCTGCTCCAGGCACAGACTTCAAGATAATTTGTGTTTATCTTTACCTCCTGGAACCTGATCTTGCCACATGAATTAGTCCAGGCCAACTTACTGGATGGGGCTTCCCTGGTGGCTCAGATGGTAAAGAATCTATCTGCAATGCAGGAGACCCGGCTTTGATGCTTGGGTTGGGAAGATCCCTTGAAGAGAATGGCTACCCACTGCAGTATTCTTGCCTGGAGAATTCCATGGACAGAGGAGCCTGGTGGGCTGCAGCCCATGGGGCTATATAGAGTTGGACCCAATTGAACAACTTTCACTTGCACAACCTTTTGGATAATAAGGTAAGTAGCCTAGTCAGCGCCACTGCCCCAGCCAACACAGAGATGCAGAGCTGCCTACCTGATCTGATGCACGTGGAGCCCGTGTGGAACCACGACCATGTGGAGCAGGGAAGAATCAACCAGCTGAGCCCAGCTCAAACTGCCAGTCAACACAACTGTGAGCTAAATAAATGACTCTTGTTTTAAGCCACAAAGTTCTGGGGTGGTTTATTTCACAACAAAACTTAATTGACACAGATGAGCAAAATCAAATCCACACACTCATCATAATAAAGTTGCAGAAAATTAAAGACAAAATCTTACAACTAAGTGCTAATTTAGAAGAGAAATAATTTTCTAATGAGGTTGATCTGTAAGCATTTTAAATATCTGAACTTAGTGTTAAGTGGGAAAGCGTGGGAGAAGATATCCTAGGCAAAAAAAAAAAAAAAAATACAGTATCTGAAATGCTGTCCAGTTTGCTGAAAATATAAAACCAAAAGGTAGATGTGTTTTGAGTTAAGGGCTATGAGCCAAGCAGACAGACTGTATTCTGGCTTTGTCACTAGCTATGTGACCTCGGGGCAACGGATTTCACCTGTTTTCTCCTATGTAATGTAAATAATAAGTGGGGCTTCCCTGGTGACTCAGATGGTACAGAATCTGTCTGCAATGCAGGTGACCTGGGTTCAATTCCCTTGGTCGGGAAGACCCTCCAGAGAAGGGAATGGCTACCCACTCTAGTAATCTTGCCTGGAGAATTTCAAGGACAGAGGGGCCTGGCGGGCTGCAGTCCATGGGCCACAGAGAGTCAGACACGACTGAGCAACTACCACCACCATCACCCATGTAAATAATATCACTTACTGTTTAAGATTAAAATGTAATTAAAGTTATGCTTGGCATATGGTACACACTAGATTTTACAGAACGCCTCTCTTCAGATGTGAACCACTGAAACTTGTATGTGGGAATAACAAAGAACCAGAGAATCTGCATTAGAAGGGGTCACTGAAGCTATGTAACCTGCCTCTGGGGCATATGTGTGTATAGTGTATGTAATGCGTGTGTGTGTAATCTGACCTCAGGGGTGTGGGGGTGTGTGTGTGTGTCCTCCAGGCTTCCGTGATGGCCCAGACGGTACAGAATCTGCCTGCAATGCAGGAAACCCGAGTTCGACACCTGGGTTGGGAAGATCCCCTGGAGAAGGAAATGGCAGCCCACTCTAGTATTCTTGCCTGGAGAACGGACGGGCAAGTCCTCTGTCATGGACAGAGGACTCTGGTGGGCTACAGTGCACAGGGTCGCAGAGAGTTGGACATGACTGAGCGTATTTTTTGACAATCTTTTCTACTGTATTATCACAAAGCTCTGATCCAAAATCTCCCTCTGTGAGGTAGAAAAGTCTATTTTCTTTCCTGCAAAACAACCTTTTCTATAGTCATGGGCAACTAAAAGATCCCCCGTTCTCTTCTTTCTCCACGTTAACAGTTTTTTTGTAAAATGAAGTGTTTAGATTTCAAAGGTGTAATATCTTCCTCTGGGTACCCTCCATCCCACAGAACTGGGGGTGGGGTGGGCAGGGTCATATCTGTATAGCACTGACTAAGCAAAGACCTTTAATCTATGACCTCAAACCTGCCCTCAAAGAAGTAACAATCTAGCTGGAAAAGCAGAGAAGTAAAAAGACAAAACAGTGAAGTGCTATCCTAGAGGTAAACACAGCATGCCACTGGGCAGAAGAAGGGCAAATAACCGAATCCTCGACGTGATGACGGTTGTTCCAAGAAGGCTTTATGGAAGAAATAACATCTGAACTGAATTCTGAAGAACCACATAGGTTTTAGCCAAGTAAATAAGCTAGCACAACAAATGCCCTCTCTCAAGGGTTTTCTCTTCTTCTGAAACATATATGAGATAATCATCTCATATGTACAAAAGCAATGTTATTTAATTGGCAAAATTGTTTCTCATATGGCTGATTTCTTATATCAATTTTAAACTACTATATTATTTCACAGTTATGCGAAAGTATTTCTAATTGAAGTTTTGACAAGAAAAGCACTGAAGTCTGGCAGGTTAAAAATTAGCTTTTTAGAATAGAGAAATCTGGTTTCAAATATTAACTCTACACCTTTCCAGCTATTCACTGAGTCAAGCAATATTTACTGAATAACTACTCAAAGATATTCTGTAAATTGCTGGTAACACAGCAAGATTTCAAAAAATAATTTATTCCATTATTTCTTAATATGGACTCCTTTGTTGCATGTATGCTAAGTCGCTTCAGTCGGAACCGACTCTGTGTGACCCCATGGACAGCAGCCCACCAGGCCCCTCTGTCCATGGGATTTCCCAGGCAAGAATACCAGAGTGGGTTACTATTTCCTTCTCCACCTTTGTTACTCAGCTCCTAATACAAACCCTAAAACCACTGGTATAAGAGTATTTCTCTCATAGAGCATGTAGCTGGCAGAACTGTTTTCTTGTGAAAATAAATGACACGTTCTTGCCCAGACAGGACCAGATATGTACCTACAAGCAAGGCCAAGACTTTCCTTAAGAAGCACTGGCTATCAGTTATCAAGTACTTTATTCCATTTAATCTTCACAATAATCCGTATACTAGACTCTTACAATAATGGCAACCAATTACTGCCTCCCCCTAACCATGCCCCTCTGCAATGTAACCTGGCCACTCTTCCCATAGAGGTAGATTGCATTTCCTCTAGCCTTGAATCCAGCCTGGTCTTCTTACTCTGACCAGTGCTTGAGACCTGATGTTGTGAGACTTCCAAGGGTGGCCTTAAGAGGGCTTGCCAGCTGTTTCTTTCACCCTACTGGAACCTTCCTAAGGCCCTGAACGAGAGACAGTGTGCAGAAAGAGAGACCCAGCCAACAGCCACAAGTGTATGCGTGAGTGGGCCCAGACAAGACCAGCAAAACGACCTAGTTGATCTAAAGCATACTGAGAAATTATACTTTTTTTACACCACTAAGTTTTTGATTTGTTACAGAGCAGTAAATAACTGACGTACCCAGTAAGGTAGATACTATTATCTGCAATTCAGAGCTGAGGAAGTAAATGCTTAGCTTACGTTTCAGAATTCTGCAAATACGTGAAAACTGTATTTCTTCTGATAACTAACACACTTATCTTTTTTTTAACAAAATAAAAAGGAAAGCAAACACGGAAAAAAATACAAGCAAGTTTTACTTTCATCCAAATCTATCAAAATCACATGCAAAAAGAATTAAGCAGTGAGACATATTCAATTTATTTCCAACCCAGGGATTAAGTCAATATGTACTTACCAGCTTCTTAATAATAGTAAGGAGAACAATCCTGTGGCTCTTTCTAAGTGCCAGGTACTGTTCTAGGTGCATATACACACTCTATTCATTCTGTCCTCAGACAGATTATCTTATAATTATCCCATCTTCCTGAGAGGGAAATTGCCCCACAAAGTAGTTAAGCCCAAGAGTACTGCTAAATTTCCCACTGATATACTGGATTACGCTTACTAGCAGACAAAACGCATTACAGCCTACATAAAACAAAGTCAGTGTTTCAATGGCCAGGTTAAAACAGGTGTAGCCTGTTGAAATGGAGCAAGGTGATCTTAGCTGTCAAATGTAAATAGGATCAACTTGAGAAGCACATTTGAAACAGAATTCATGTTCATTACAAAAAAAAAATAGTGCTGTGAAATCTACAAAGAGGAAACAGACTATCTCCCTACCTATCTATCTATCTGTCTAGATGTAATTAACACTGTTGAATAACTGACTGCAGGGCAGGCACAAATCACAAATTTAAGTTGGAGTGGACCTAACCCTTCTACATAAATTCCTATAAAATTTCTAATCATCTGTTTAAAATTCTGCAAACATCACTACTCTAGACATCCTGACCCACGTTGTGGTGACATTCCTCTATGCCCTTCCTCAGAGTTGGTGGCGGGGAGAGACAGTATCCAAAACACAACCCACAGAAGATGGTTCAAGTAGTTCTGGACGACATGATAGCGGCCATACCTCCTCAGCCCCCGTCAGCCTCAAGAAGCCATCTCCCCGGAAAACTCTGCACCAAGGTTCCGGAATATAAATGGCCCTCAGTCAAAGAGAAAAAACGGGCGAAGTAGAGACAAACAGAGGCCAGAATTCGGTGTGAGAGGCCGGCCAGCGATGGGAAGGGGCACCAGAGGAAGGTTTAGAAGGCCATGGGAGCAGCCGTCCCACAGACCGCGCTTCTAGAATCTTAAGAGAACGGAAAGGATGCCATCAAGGGCTGAAAAAGTTGACAGCCACTCCAGATCTATGGTCCTGAGCGCTCCCTGCACAAGGTCCCCTCCAGTTTTCTGCTGCTCCCAACATCTGCCTCCACGACCGACCTCAGGCCCGCCCCCTTGGTCTTCAGGCCCGCTCCTAGCCTCACATCCGAAAGCCGCCGTCAATGCAAGGAGAACAAGTCTCTGGCTTGCCTCTCCAGCTCCCAGGCCCCCAGGAAATACTCACTTGCCCGCCAGATCTTTATGAGAGCCGCTCGAATTCATGAGCTGGGCCAAATCCTGTCGCACGGCTGCCGCCATCTTTCTCCCAGCTCGGCGGAGACTGCTGGGCCTCTCGCGGCCGAAAGAAACCGAGTGTAGTCCTCCAGAGTGCGGCTAGAGGGAACCCGAGATGCCACAGAGTAGCGCCTGTGTAGGCCAGAACGCCGAGTGTGGGCGCCTGAGTTAGGCCCGCCCCCAGGGTTGATTGACGCGAAGCTCCACTCCTCAAATCCTAGGCCCGCCCGGGCTTCTCTTACAGGCTCGGGCTCACGCGCTCCCACTTTGGATTGGCGGATGAACTCCAAGGGACTGTGTCGCTTGTGCAACCCCAGTAAGTGCCCGATTCGCAAAACTTCGGGGTTTTCGTCAAGTTCCGTGTCTCCTGTCTGTAGTTTACCATGCCTTGTTCTTTAAGGCTGCACTTGAACTACCCGTAGTAAAGAACGAGTTATTTTTGTTTACAATTCACCACAGACCGGTACTTTTGTAAACTACAGTAAAAAATGTCCCCATTCGCTTCCCACTCTGCGTCTGTATATAGATTGATCATACATCCCAGTTTGTCTAGGACAGTGCCATTTTCCATCTGTCGTCCTGGAGTAATTGTTAATAACATGCCCTTTGACTCTGGAAACTGTTCCATTTGGATGACAAATTATATGATCGCCTTACCTTGATCCGTAATTGTATTTATGTATTTATATAGGAGTGCAAATTTCTACAGGCTTACCTACAAAGGATGTTAAACTTTTGAATTTTTGCCACTTTATATGTGAAAAAGAACATGTTCTCTGGGGAAGGGGAAAGAAAAGAAGTCTAGAACAAGGAAATCCTTTGAGAAAGTAATGTGGCGATTTGTTGTCTTTATTGTTCTTGTTCCGTCGCTAAGTCGTGTCCAGATTTTTACGACCCCATGGACTGCAGCAAGCCAGGCTTTCCTGTCCTTCACTGTCAGTTCAAATGTCCCTCCATAGTTAAAAACTTAGTGAGATCTCCATGCCTGGCAACTGTGAGTCTGGATATTTAGTTTCCTTTTGCCTGGGTCAAAGGAAAGGATGGTTTTGAAGAGTCAACCAGCAGTCTCCACTGCCATTTGTCCCTCTGATCATAATACATTATCTGTGTGTATCCTACTTACAGTAGGACACGCAGCCCTAAAGAAGAGAGTTCAAGTTCCCACTCAGTTTCTGTATCAGCTTAAAATCCAGGATGTCTGATAATGTACAACCCTCTCCAAAAGTTTGGATGTAATTGTTCATGGCCCAAACATATATACACTATAGAACAAATTATCTGCCTTAGGCCCAAATATGTAATACAAAACAATAGAGGAGCAAGGACAGAAGGAACAGGATAACTACAGTTCCAAAAAACTAAGAGTGGGAAACACACTAGTTACTGGTCCACAGCAATGGTAGAATCCTGCCCAGGAATTATGAACACCCACTACAGTTGTTTCACCTGCAAGGTGGTCAGACACCATGGTTAGTACTGCATTTTAAGAGGATAATTACATTGTTCATTGTATTTAGTGGACTCCAGCTTTGCCTTCTAAATACAAATTAACTGGAAGTTGGAGGGTATTCCCTCTCTAGGGGAACACTTTAGGACTTGAACAGTTGAGGGCATTTGTAGACCAGGTTTTTCAGTGGGATTTTTTTTACATAATTTCATGGAATATTCAGTAAACTCTGCTTCCTTTACAGACAGTTTCAGGTGCCAATCAACATACTCAAAGTTGTTTTTGAAGTGACGTGTTAATTGCTCAGTCATGTCCAGCTCTTTGCAATCCCATGGACTGTAGCCCACCAGACTCCTCTGTTCTCTTCTCGAGGCAAGAACACTGGAGTGGGTTGCCATTTCCTCCTCCAGGGGATCTTCCCGACTCAGGGATTGAACCCAGGTCTCTTGCATTGTAGGCAAATTCTTTAATGTCTGAGCTACCAGGGAAGCTCCTAAAGTTTTTTTTTAAAAGTAGTCATTAAATCTGCCCTATATCCTGACTTCCATATGCAACCCATTCTTAACATCTTAATGATGGCATCCTTGAAATCATCTGAAAGAATAAGCTTAAGTGAGAAGAGAACTCTATTAGTTTGATTTTTGCGCCAGTGTATCTTTCCTTTCTGTTGTTTTTTATTTATGTGTCTGTTGTGTTTTATTTATGTTTGCCAAACAAAAATTCACATTGGGCTCTGAGAAATCTCTAAGCCAAGTTTTCTCTCCTATAATTTAGGGTTACACAAGCTGTCGACTTTTTCAATTTAGTGAAGTTCCAGAATTTCCAGACATTCTGTTCTCTGTCTAGCCTGACTTGAAGATTTACATGTAGTACCTTATGCGTGCGTGCTCAGTTACCCCTGACTCTTTGCGTCCCCATGGGCTGTAGCTCTCCAGGTTCCTCTGCCCATGGAATTTTCCAGGCAAGAAATACTGGAGTGGGGTGCCATTTACTATTCTAGGGGATCTTGGTAACCCAGTGATTGAACTTGAATCTCGTGTCTCCTGCACTGGCAGGCAGATTCTTTCCCACTAGCGCCACCTGGGAAACTCTTGTAATACCTTGCTGAAGAGTAAAAGCAGCAGCCACATACATAAAGTGGCTCTTTTCGAGATATCTCCACTAGACCTACAAGCTAGAGAGGGAGGTTCTCTGCCTTTCTAGTTATTATAGGCAGCAGTTTTACTAAAACTTTTTGATGTGACAAAGCCTCCCTTTTCCAGACTATTATGAATGCTCAACTTCTAAGAGAATACTACATAGCTTTAGGTTTGGTTATAGCAGTGAGAAGAACAAACCTGGATGGCACTGAGAACTTTTTCCCTCCCCCATTTCAGCTGCTTAACAGGAATCTAGCTGGGCAACTCTGAGTTATGGGAAGTGCACAAATCCTAGTTCTTTTAGCTAGGTCAAACCTTAGGTCCCAGTCCCAACTTAAAGTGAGTGAAGTCGCTCAGTCGTGTCCGACTCTTTGCGACCCCATGGACTAATGTAGCCCACCAGGCTCCTCCATCCATGGGATTCTCCAGGCAAGAATACTGGAGTGGGTTACCATTTCCTTCTCCAAGGGATCTTCCCGACCCAGGGATTGAACCCAGGTCTCCCGCATTGCAGGTAGACGCTTTAACCTCTGAGCCACCAGGGAAGCTACTAAGTCAAAATTGTCATGTTGAAAAATTCCTCTAGTAATTGTTGCACATTAAATTTGAGTAGCACCGCTTTAGCAGATGTCACCACTAGTAGAGCTCTTCTCATTAAACCCTCATTTAATAAGGCCATTTCCCTGGTCAGACATCTCCTGTTTTCACATAATCAGCTCTTAATAGATGGTCTCTTCCTCCTTAGAGTTCCCCTACAGATGTGAAAAGAAGGCTATCCTAGGGTCCTTTTCCTAGCACATCTTCCACTCTTTGTCTTGTGTGCCCAGCTCAAATATGCCTTGCTGTAGAAGTAATAATAATAATTTTTTAAAAAAGAATAGATGAGTGTATATGTTCTGCTGTTTTCTGAGCACTAGTTCCTACTCTGAATCTGTTCCATATGTTCTTGGTGCCATTATCAATATTGTTCTAGAGTCACCTTGTGTTTCCCAGACTAGTCCCTGAATCAGCCATTTCTTAAAGAAGGCCCTGTTCCTTTTTTTTTTAATCTGTTATTATTTTTTTTGTCAACCATGTAAGCATTATTAGTTTTACACTTTTTATTGATATATAGTTGATTTACAATGTTTCAGTTGTTGTTTAGTCACTAAGTCATGTCCCACTCTTTTGTGACCCCATCAACTGTAGACTACTAGGTTCCTCTGTCCATGGGACTTTCCAGGCAAGAATACTGGAGTGGGTTGCCATTTCCTTCTCCATTTTTAATCTTTTAAAAATTTTATTTTTATTTTTTTTAACACCAAAACCATTTTGTATTGGGGTATGGCCGACTAACAATGTTGTGATAGTTTCAGGTGAACAGCCTTTCATGTTTGAAAGTCAATTTTCTTAGATATAATCAACCTTGGCTCACTTTTCTCTAGACTGTTAAGTGTGATACTCTATTTTCCTGGGGAATAAAGCATTGCTGAAAAATACCTCGTGAGAGTCTAATTTTCTTTTCTTGTAAATGACCTACATTTTTTTTTTAACCTAGATGTCCCCCAATTTATTTTCCTTTCACATTAAGTAATTTTACTAGACTATGTGTTGTTGTTGGTCATTCTGGGTCATTCTCAGGCACACTGTGCTCTTTTAATACATAGTTTCAATTTTTTTTTCAACATCATTGTCTTTCGTTATAATTTCTTTTACTTGCCATATTCCTTTGGTTTCTTTCTTCAGAAACTACTATATCTATATGTTAAATCTGAAGATCTACCTATCTTTAATACGAGTCACCTTTCCTCAAAATCTTTTTATTCTTCTTATTTTTTAAATTTCCTCCTTTAAATAAATAAATAAATAAAATTTTCTCCTTTTCACTCTCTCTGTCTCTTAAGGCATTATTTGTTATTTTAATTTACTCCTGGTTTCCTTGTAGTCTAGTCTTCATTTCAATTTTTTTTTCTAATTTTTAATTAGAAAAATTTTTATTTCTAATTCTTTCCCGAGTTCCACCACTCATTCTGGGTGTTTCTAATTTTATGACGTTATCCCATCATGTCCTCTATTGTTTTCTTTTCCATTTCACTCACGAAAAAAGTGTATGAAGGCTTAAAAAAAAGTACCATCTTCTTTCCAGTTTGACTGCTGATTACCTTCCCCAGCATGAGTTTGAGCAAGCTCTGGGAGTTGGTAGAGGACAGGGAAGCCTGGTGTGCTGCAGTCCATGGGTTCGCCAAGAGGTGGACATGACTGAGCGGCTGAACTAAACTGAAATACCTTCCCTCTTCTGACGGTCACTATCAAACACTTTTTCTTCAGTAATATATGAGAATATGTTTTCATATTTCCTTCCTTTTAGATACTTTAGTACCCCCTCGCCCCTTTGTGGTGGTGGTGTACTCAGTCATATCCGACTCTTAGGACCCCATGGACTGTAGTCTACCAGGCTCCTCTGTCCATGGGTTTCTCCAGGCAAGAATACTGAAGTGAGTTGCTATGGCCTCCTCCAGGGGATCTTCCTGACCCAGAGATCAAACTCAACTCTCATGCATTGCGGGCAGATTCTTAACTGGCTGAGCTC